ATATATATATATATATATATATATATGCATTTCATTTTCTAATATTTAACTTATTCTATCATTTGAATAAAAACAATATTAATAAATTATATCGTTCTATGAAAGAAAAGATGGAGAAAAATAATAATAATTGCATTTTGATTAGTAATGTGTGTTATATTTTTAGTAAATAAGTATTTTCAATATTTTTTTACTTTTAACATAATGATAATTTTAAAATTTAAAACATTATAATTTGAAAATATAATTAAAAATAAAATAAAAACATAAAACATGTACAACATGAAGAGTTTTCCTTTATATTATTATAGATATTTCACAATTAGTGGTACTTGGTGTTTATGCATCAACTTATAAGTTAAGAAAACCCACGTTGTTCATTCAACAATTCCTTAATTATTCATGTAATTCATTGCTAGATTAAAAACTGTATGAAATGTTGTATTCATATTATCTTATTTTGATTGTTTTTCACTAATGGGAATTATTACTAGTGCAACAGTATAACCTCGTACATGATTTAAAATTTAATGTTAAGAATATATGGTAATATTTTTATAAATATTTAATTCAAATTGATTGGCAAAAACTCTTATAAACAAACTTCAATTTACACATTAACGTCCTAGTGTTAACCAATGTTAATTAAAGTATGTTACCAATGTTAATTAAGGTATGTTAGAAATGCAACATGCGACATTTGTTATGTTAATTTAACGTTATTATAACGTTGAACTTTCAACATATTTTAAAAACCTAAAATATCATAATTAAAAGTCTTTCTTATGTTAGTATATTACTTAAAGGTTTACTTAAAATATTTAAACATTTTAAAGATAATTTTTTTTATTTGAGATAAACTATTACTTTGGAGGAAGTTTAAATTTCAAGATAAACTCAAATGAGTTAATAAGAATGACAATGTGGGATAAGTCATGTAGGTCTATCCGTCAGAAAAAGTATAAGATATGTTGAGTATTTCGGCTCACTAATCCAAAGTTGTGTTTGATAACTTTAGTTACTTGAAATTTATTCTTCCCTATTATTTTAGTTATATATAATTGTTATGCAATTTCTAACAAGCTTATACTTAAAAAATAAAAATTATAAATTATAAATTATAAAATTGTAAATATTATTTATTTTAAGAAATAAATTTATAGAATTTATTATTTCTACTCATTTAATTAAATAAAAATAAGATTACCAAAGTCCTACACTTTGATAGTTTACAAAAAAAAATTTAATCTGTCACATCAATCAAATCCTACACTAATTCTCACACGTTGCATCCAAATTCACTCTCATTTACCTCCAAATCCACTCAAATAAACAATAAAAAAAATTATCTTCAGATCCTCTCAAATCCACTCAATTACTCTCCTTCAGATCCATTCAAGTGAACAAAGGGTAAAGGAGAAAATTAGGAAACAATAATTTTATATGTGAAGTGACTCACAAGCCGTCAATCATGGACGAAAACGAGACACGCCAACCCACATTGTCATCTATATGAGTTGAATGTTTCAAAGTCAAATAGAAAAAAAAAATGAGGAGGGTGAAAGGGAAGAATAAAAGGCATTCATCCAGCGTCTAAGTGCTTTAATTTCCAGATGAGAGGTCACAACAAAACAAATTATTCAGGGAAGTAGAGAAATGAAAGAGGTACAAACTCTCATTTCAAAAGAGAATCTACTAATGTTGTGGTATTTCATGATAGTTATACGTATTGTGGAGTGTTAGGCATCAATGTCAGATACACAAAGGAGTTTGGCCATGGACTCAAGATGCATTCACCACATGTGTTTAGTAAAGAAGTTCTTTTGAGACTCTATAATTGAAAGAAAGAAGTGAATTCTTATTTGAAACAATAAAATTTGTAAAACGGAAGGCATGTAGTTAATCAAATTGAAGATGTTTGATAACCAAGAAATGTTGTTCTAATATTTGAGGCATGCTTTAGAGCTTAAGAGAATTGTTTTGTCAATTAGCATGTTTTTTCTTATAGGTATGTCAACAGAGATTGAACAAAACACTATAAAAATTTTAATTGGGATTTTTACAGTTGCTAAGTGGATGAAAAATAACAATCTTAACATACAAGATAGTCGTGCATGCATTTGTGGCTAGTCTGATGATGATGTATGAAAACAAAGTTGTGTCGTCTAATGTTGGGACACATTAGTAATAAAGGTTTGGTACAGCTGAACAGTAGAATCTGTCAGGTGATAAAATGGAGGAGCTGAAATTTTGTAATCAATAAGTACTTGGAAAGTATGATCCATTGAAGTTTGAGCTTAATAAGCATGTATCTAATGGACCTTTGAGCATACTCATACAAACTTAAAAGGTTTAACATGAGCTCAAAGCCATGGTAGAGAGTATTATTTCCTCCTTATTATATACTATTATTCTCTGAGGATGTGAATTATATTTGGAAAAGTAAAGGTGAGACTTTTCCAATATATGTATAATAAAACATAAAACGGTTGCTGAAAGGTATTTTGGAGTGAGTAAAGTCTATGTTAATTGGAGCAGTATCTGCTACAGAGACAAAAAACCGTCTACCAGAGAATATGTACTAATGTGGATTAGTTATAACGTACACCATTTTCCCTCTATCACCTATACTAGTGAACATGCGAAACTCTTGAAGAATACATTATGTTGAGATTATTACTACATTTAACCTTCAATTATAGTACAATTGTTTTCCTTCATTTTTGTGCATCCAATCAAGGAGAAGGATTATCGTCTCAAGAAAATAAAAGTAGAATGTTCATTAAGTTATGTAAACAAAATACGGACAATGAAGCCATATAGGATTCTAATAGTAATATCAGAGCATCCATTTCCGTCAATAAGAAAGGATTAAAGTTCGATACATCAATTACAGAGATAGATATAGGCAGCAAGCATTCCCGCTACACCCTCACACAATACAAAGAAGAATGAGACAAGAAGAAGATGACGTACGATCAGGAGAGTAATTAATCAAGCAAACTACAACTGAATCCACCATCTGAGGGAATCAGCTTCTCCGCCTTTGTTACAGCATCAAGTAAGAGAGGAACAAAGCTTCTAGATGGCCCATAGAAATGAGGGAAGCTGTTTGAACCATCCACAATTTCATAAATCAAACCATCACCAAGCTGAGGGATATCACAGAGAAAGCATGAAATTAGAGCATTACACGCAAGTTTGGCACTTTTTATTACTGATAAATATAACTTCGAAAAAGCCATAACCCAGTTGTATATTTCACTCTGTTTCATTGAATTAATGAAAGTAATTTGCAGGACAGACATGTTAAGTTCATCCTACAAAAAGCCATAATTTCCAAGAATAAGAGTGAAACACTGGCCATTTAAGAGTATAGCGAAGAAGTACATGCAACCTTTTGAGCATCAATTTGAAGCAGGTAGAGTTCCGACTTGCTGTTCAAGAAAAAATTCTGCAGTGTTGGCCGAACCTGCAATGATATCACATCGTAACTTCGTAAAACACCGAATCAATTCGAACTATAACATAAGCTTGCATCCGATTCCGATTAATAAAGAAAAAGAAACTGAATCGGAAAAATTACAAAAGCACGAAAATCAACCTGGTCGAGCTTGCTGAGATGGATGAAACCGGAAGACCTATCAAGCTCCCCACCGAAAGTGGACCCATTTTTCTGCAACGCCTCCCACTCCTGCGCAGTACTGATTCTGTACACGAAATTACTCATCTTTGTTTTCCAAATCCGTAACCATCGTTGTCGTTTCGCTATGCATATATCCAAATGGGCCGGCCCATTTTCATTGAGTTGGGCTTCCTCTTTAACATAACACCAAAAAGTAAATAAAGAAACAGATAAAATTACTGTTATTTCATGTTTTGGTTGAAACTTAAAAAAGAACAGCGTTAGCTCCGAGTACTTCAGAGGAGTAGGAATGGCTGCGATCGCGGGAACTCACGTGTTTAGTGTTGTTAGTTTCCACCTCAGGGAAGCCGAAATACCTTTAGCATGTTCCAGCTTAAGCCGCAAGCGTATTGGTGATTGTTCTCGGCGTAATGTGGTTCTAAGACGCAGAGGAAATACTGCGATTCTTCCCAAAATCAGAGCCCAGAATATTCCAGGTACAAATGCATGTGTTCTCTCTGGCCCTGTCCGCTAATATTGTTACTTAATTTGTTGTTTGAAATGTTCACTTTCCCAGACTATGTTCCAGAATCCAAGTTTTATAAAGTAGAAGCCATTCTCAGGTTACAATAACCTTTCTCTTTTTTCGTGGCTTGGGGAGGGAGAGGTTTACTGTGTGATTAATTAGTTGAAGTGGGTTTTTCTAGCTACCTGTTTATATATTCCCTGATTTACTTTGTTCAATTTCTTGTGGACCAGGCCCTGGCGAGTCGCTCAGGTTTCTTCGGTATGACATTATGTTTCTTTTAGGGTTTAATTTATACACACTTTGTTGATCAATAGTAAATATATTGTTTCACTTTCACAACATCCTTGCACTTTGTTTGATACCCGTGTTATGTTCAAGTGGAGCTAAGAAGTTGGCAGTTGGTGCAAGTTAGAAGGTGAAAAATACTTTATTAATATCTCTCTGATTATCTATGAAATGGGGCATCATCCTTGGATTGGGAGTTGTGCCTTTTTTTAGTTAACTGAGTGCTTGTTCGGATAAATGTTCTGAAAGCACTTTTGGGTGTTGAATGTATATTTTGAGAAGATTACTCTTTTATCTTTTATTCTGAATGTAGTTTTAGAAAGGGTGCAACTGCTTTCCAAAAATGCTCATTTGTATCTTGCGTTTGTCCTAATTGCCTGTGTTAGAGAAAAGCAACTACCTTATCCTCTCTCAAATATATTAGCTTGGTTGGCTAATATAGCACGTAGTTTTTGTTTTAAGCCATTAGATTTACCAAGTTCATTTGTGTATATGCTGGTGCTAAATTTTAGTTTTCTTGATCGGAAGGGTTTGCTGAAAATGGGAATTCGCGGTGTCACTGTATCTGATGTCAGGGGCTTTGGTGCTCAGGGTGGTGCAAAAGAGAGGCAGGGAGGTAAGTAAGACGTAGTGTGTCTAGTGGTACTTAAAAACTTAATATTTTCCCTCCCCATAAAGAAGACTCTTCTATATTAGGCTTGTGTTGAAGTAAATAATGTGTATTTCCAGTTCACCTTTAATTTAACTTAAAAAGCGTTGTGATCCTGCAGAAGATTTGTTTTCTTTTGTCCTACATATCTTTATTCCTTTTTTTTTTCATTTTGATACTAAAAATCAGTAATCACTTTTTAAGAGTGAATAACTATGAGTCTAAGTCATAAAAGTATAAATCTAATCCATACGGAAAGAAAAGTGTTCGGTTCTGATGGAAATTGCGTAAAGTGAAATATCTTCATCCACTACTCTTATTAGAGTTTCTTTCTCCATTTGGCATGCCAAGAGGACTAGTCAAAAGATCTTGTTATGTATATACGTGTAAGAGAAGAAGAATTAAGTGAGCGTGATATTCTTAGAATACGAATTTATCAGAATAGATGGTGATTACTGTGAGGTAGCAGTATTTAAGAGTAGAGAAATGAACTTCAACCTGAAAAAAAAATATATATCCGAGAGAGAGAAAACCAGAGGATCAATATCATCGTGTCCTGCCTTTGTCGCTAACAGGAAGTTATATACTCTTTACACTCCTCCATGTAGTCACGTAGTCTCGAGTTCGTTATCCTGGTGCATGCACTCCGCCTCCTTTCTTGATCTTACGGATCCTCTGCTGTCCAAAGCCAGCTCTTTTTTGATTTGCCTCTTTTGCCTTTTATCATTTCCATTCTTTACAGATCTCCATTTGCCTTTTCTTTCATTTTATGCAATTTCCATTGGAATGGACTCTTTAACTTACGGTTTAAATTTATGGTTTTATGACTTAGTTTTTCAGTACTTTGGATTGTTTTAATCCCTGTTAACAGCATGTGTGTTTCTTGTGTCCCAATTATTGTTTTTAGATTTAAGGTAAATTGCTCGATTGCTTATTCTCCTCTGTTTTTATGTTTGGCAAATAACTGTCGAATCTCATTATTGATGAGATGCAAGTGGTAGTACTCTCAGTATAGTTTGGATGTGTTTTTTTTTTTTGTTTTTTTAGTTTCTCAAATTAGTAAGTATGGCATGATGTTGATGTGAATTACTGATTAAGCTACTGCCCATGGGAGTTTCCTTTGATACAGTCAGTGAATGCCACCGATGAAATATGTACAACATACCTGTGTGATCAACCTTTAACTATACTTTGAGTTTGTAAACACTGTCCTTAACTTATTTTAATTATTAGTAGTTCAAGAAATACATTTTCTTTTTCCATTCGTTTTGTGTTATATACATGTTTTTATGCATATGGGTTACATTCACCATTGTCTTTTACTAATATGCTATTCTTCGCAGGCTCTGAATTTTCTGAGGGAAATTTTGTTGCCAAAGTTAAAATGGAAATAGTAGTGGAAAAGAACCAGGTATGCGGACAGTTTGTAGTAACTTCACTGCTTCATAGACCTACTTGACTTCCTTTTCGTATGAGTGCAATAATGCGAGGTGGGAAGAGAAACTTCTTAGTTACTGCCAGAGTGCCCTTAACCTCTAAATGACAATTTTATCTGCAAAATATCAATGTTAAAATGCTTACTAGCATCTGAAATGAATATGATTATGTCCATAATCATTAGAATTTGATGCGCTAAAATTTTCATCGTTTCTAAATCTGTTGTCTATAGATTTGCATCTTCTCCGGTTTCACAACCAGAACAGAACCATTTGGAAGATAAAAGCACGAACTTTTTTTTTATGATATGATAATTCCATTACCACTGGTCTTGGTTGTTCTGTCTGCCTTAATAACTTCAGTAACAGGACTGTCAGTGTCGAGTTTATGGATTTTAAAGCGATTAAAGAAAAAACAGAATATCGTTTTTGTGACCAAAAATATTGGCGGGAGAAGTTACAATGAACACTTTCAATGTTCTTTTGATTGTTTTTTTCTTTCACATAAATAAGTTAGGAAACATTTCTAGAATGAAACCAAACCATTCTTAAGTACCAATAAAAATGTTCATTCCCTGATAATACCACACATGTCTGTAGGTTGAGGCAGTGATTGACAAAATTATCGAGGAGGCAAGGACTGGGGAGATTGGTGATGGCAAAATTTTCTGTAAGACCTGGAAATCTATCTAGAGATTAATTATACATTGTGTTCCATTAGCAGTTCTTTTTTCTGTTTGGATCATTGCCAATCTAGGGATATAAATGTGTCTGTTTTAGTGAGTTAGCCTTATTTCTCGTACATATCACTCTTCTTGGGTCCTGGGCAAACAGGTTATTCTGTAGTGATAGCATTTCCATTTTCAATATGATTTGTTTTTCCTTCTCGCAACTTGGGGTGGGGGACGGCGGCGGCATGAATAAAAGTTTTATCAGCTGAAAGAGAATAACTGAAATGAATTATGCTGTCTGAGACAACAAATATGATTCTGTTTACAAGCTGAAAATATTTTCTTTTCTTTTTTTCTGTATGTTATGTATATTCCCTTCTCAGTTTAGAAACACAACCGGATGTGTTCTCGGTATCCGTAATATAGAAATGGTACCTTTTGACTTTTTGCTTTCACTTGTACCTCTCCTACCCTTTTTATTAATATATTAAATATTATATTCCCTAGAAACTATTAAGATTGATCTTTAGATTCGTGAATTATTAGATTTATACTTTTGTAAGCACCTTAGTCTTGATGCGTATTTCCTGTTCCATGTCTCCTCTTGTGAAGTTCCGAACAGAAGATTTTGAGGGAATACGAATTAAACTCTAATTTCTAAATTCAGCAAGTAAATGTATTGACCTCGATATGGAATCACATTTCTGATGAAACTTTGATTGTGCAGTGATCCCCGTCTCAGATGTTATAAGAATACGGACAGGTAACGATTTTCTCCCTGGAATTGCCAAAAAAAAAACTCGTAGTGAGCATTTCTAAGTTTTGAGTATAAAATTTTCAGGTGAACGTGGGGAGAAAGCAGAGAGGATGACTGGTGGGAGAAGTGACATGTTATCTGCTGTATGACTGTTGGAATGAAAAGATCAGCATTTATCATCTTTTTCTCTTACCCTTTCCTTTTCCCTTGTGGAATAAGCAAATGCATTGTGATTTATATTTGCAAGGATGTATGACAGACTGTTGAAAGGACAGTGATGAAACTTGTGAAAAAATAATAAACAAAGGCGAATTACTTCAATTAGCGCCATGTCATATGACGCCAAATTGTATGTGATGTAATAAATTAATGACATTATCAGACTTATTGCATTAAGAAATATAGTTTACAGCCCAGGTAAAATAGTTTGCACTTTACTTTGCCAAGTTTAAGATAGTTTTTTCAACTCTCTGATAAGGCAAGGGAGTCTAGTTCAAGTAAGTTTTTATAAGACTTGAATTTGAAATAACTTTGAGATAAAACCTGTCTTGTCAATTTAGCTGAAACATACTTTAACAAAGATTCAATTCTGTGTAGAATTGAAATAACTTGATTTGAAGAAATAATATAACAATTTTAAAATTATTTATAATCAAATTGTAAATTAAATATGTTGTATTGTGTATATTAAAAGAAACAACATTAATATAAATATAACATTATATCACGTAAAATATAGTTTGATCACTAAAACCGATTTCATTCTCATATGATTTTTTCATAAGAGAAATTCTTGAAAGTAGACTCCTATGGGATTTGGTTGAAATGAAGAAATATAAAGGCAAAAAGAAACAGTTTTTTAGTTTTTTTTTATTGAAGAGAAAGTAAAAGAAAAAATTGATTTTTAAAAATACACACATGTGTCCATGGTATGCAAATTGTAAATAAAAACATAACAAATGTAAGAATTGGTGTAGCCTTAACTTAATATTTAAGTGAAATGTGAAAACTAAAATAAAATTATAAAGCATAATTTATAATTTTTAATAGTATAGAAATATTTGTTTATCGGAGAATTTGAGACCACCCAATTTTGAAGAGTAGCTTTTTGTATGATTTTGAAAAGCGGAGAGCGAATAAGGAACCGTAGAACCCCCTCACCAAATCATTTACTAAACGCTCTCCGCTCCCAAACAACATCAGATCTCATCGCAAGTTCCCCAATACAACTTCCTCTTTCTCATATCTCTAAGGCAAGTCCTTCTCTTCCCTCTCACATTTTTCTTTATCTTTTTAGTTCTCAAACGCTCACCTTCTCGATCCGTTTCCATCTTCGTATATTCTCTCATAAATTTTCGATCTTCACATCTCTTTTTCCAATTCCAATTTCCTGTGTTAATTAGGGTAGCGTAACGATTGCACCGATGTTGTCTTAACCTTTGTGTTTGGGATTGTTTGTTTCAGAATAGTTGAAAATGGGGCTCTCATTCACCAAGCTTTTCAGTCGCTTGTTTGCCAAGAAGGAGATGCGTATACTTATGGTCGGTCTCGACGCCGCCGGTAAGACCACCATTCTCTACAAACTCAAGCTCGGAGAGATCGTCACCACCATTCCCACCATTGGTATATTTCTCTCTTTCTTTTAAATTTTTTTTCTTCCAATTTCTTTCCATCAATTAAATCGAATTTTAATTATGCACTCATCAATAAACGTGACAATAGAATAAAATAAAATTCAAAAGAACCGAAAAAAAAATAAAGGATGCGGTTTTTGTTAATATGTAACGTTCGGTGTAGGGTTTAATGTGGAAACTGTGGAATATAAGAACATCAGCTTCACTGTTTGGGATGTTGGTGGCCAGGACAAGGTATTTCTTTTTCATTTTACTTTCGCTACCTTTATCTGTATATTCATGGCCTGATGGGATACTTGTTAACGATTTAGAATGGTTTCATTCGTTACCTTTGAGAGAGAAAACATTATTTCTGATACTAGTAATTTTGGGTGCTGAATAATAACTTGATGCTACCATGCATACACTCGCTCCATTACAAGATCGATGTGAGTCAGAATGCATATTTTTTTTTGCGGGTGCATTTGATTAGTTTTGTAATACTTTTTCTTCATTTCAAATAGTGCCGGTAATGCATTATTTTGTGAGTACATTTCTTAATTTTGACCCAAACATGTTAAAAATGAAATCTTAAGCTAAATTAGCAGTTTTAAGCCTCTATTTTTTAGTGCTTGTCATCTGTTGCTCGGATCCAGTACTGTAGCAAGATCTGGCTACGGTGCTGAACATCTAGCTTGTTACCTCTATGTGGTGGACTTCTATATGGCTTGAATTGTCCAACACATTTGGCCTCCTCTGCTATATATTTTTATCGCAGAATCATTAGGAATTTTTTTATCGATACAGTAGTGAACATTTACACGTGTTCCCTGCTAGATCCGTCCTTTGTGGAGACATTACTTCCAAAATACCCAAGGTCTTATATTTGTGGTTGATAGCAATGACCGAGATCGTGTTGTGGAAGCTAGAGACGAGCTGCACAGGATGTTGAATGAGGTAACAAAATAGATAATCATTGAATGTGAGAATTTGGTTTATTTTAGAGGACTTGGTTTCCTAGAATAACTTTGTGATTTCTCTTGTCTGGCTGTAACTTTTGTCAGGATGAGTTGAGAGATGCTGTGCTACTTGTTTTTGCAAACAAGCAAGATCTTCCAAATGCTATGAATGCTGCCGAAATAACTGACAAACTTGGTCTTCATTCTCTCCGTCAGCGTCACTGGTAATATAAAATATTTCTGTCAGCGGTTAACTTGTCTATTGAATCCACTGTCTCCTCACTCCCTTACCCACCGACCATGTTCTTCACATGCAGGTATATCCAGAGCACATGTGCCACATCTGGTGAAGGACTTTACGAAGGACTTGACTGGCTCTCAAACAACATTGCAAACAAGGTTAATGCAGAATAATTATTCTCTGGGATTCAGCAATTCTAAATATAGTTTGACCGATTTCATATGAGGGCATGACTAATGGTTTTCCTTTAATTGATTTGTGATTGCAGGCATAGTGATCATCATTTATGGATTGCTTGGATTTTGGTTGAGTTTATAGCGATTGTGACTTCCGATGTTTGATACGGTTACCTTGTTTAGAATCTTTTATCTCATCTAGCATGTATTATTTGTCTTTGATAAAGAACAACATATTTACAACCTAATATTAAAATAATCTGCATTCTTTTCCGTGTATAACCAGAAGGCACTGTTTTACCCATTGATTTTAGAAGTCAATTTTGCCTATTGTTTGTGGATACTACCACACGGATGGCAATTTTTGAAATTAAGATACGATATACATTTCAGATACGCTGATAAAAAAATCTATATTGAGTATTAAAAAATTTACTAATTAAAAATAATTGTGTATCATAGCAAAAAAATACTTACTATAAATCTAAAATGTAATTTATATGTTCAAGAATGTTTATTTATTACAAATTTTAATTGCATTATAATATAGTTTATATTTATAGGTTTTTATTGTAAATTTTACTATACAAATAAAATGTATATCGAATGCATTAATTTCTTAATATTAAAAATACTTTTTATTCAGTAGTGATGTTTTCAATCACTAGCTATGCTTAAAATAAATAAATATGATCGGTTCATCGATGTTTTTGGCAAGTATGATATGTATATTTTAAAAAACCGCACTAATTAATTTGGTTTAGTTTTGCAATATTAACTATATCTTTTGGTGTAATGAGTTATTCATTGGGCAGTGAAAGTTGTAATAGTTATTCCTGTAATAGAATATCTTTGGTCGAGTTATTCTATACCTATCTATTAAAGAGCGCAAAAGTAAAAAAAATAGCCCTATTAAGTTTTCAAAACCTATCCAAGCATTAACCCAAAATAGTTAAGGAAGTTTAATATTTAGTTGAATCCTACAATTCACATTCAACTTGTGCTCGAGATTTTCTAAAGGATTTTCCATTTTTTTTTTCATATTTAGAGTATTTAAGTTCATTGAGAGAAACATTCACCCTACTTATACTATACTCCATACACATTTCATATAAAAAAATTTGTTATATTACCTATTGTGCTACTTGTTGGTATTTAAAAAATATTTGTAAACTTTTTCATATTTGTGAATATTCATAAATATTTGTATACATTTTCTATTTTCATTTTTTTATTTTAAATAAAAAAATCTAAAATCAACTATTTAAAATATGAAATTAGAAAAAAAAAAGTAATGTTAAGTATAATTCAAATTATAACTTTGATTTTTTTAAAACATAAATTTAAATAAGTTGCACATTAAAATATAAGTTTTGAAAATTTTTATTAAACCAAACAAATATATAAAATTAAATCTGAAATCTATCACCAATAAATTTATTTTTATTACTTATTTTTTTATTTGCAAGGTGTGACTAGAGATATTCATAGGTTAAATAATTTGACATTTGTATATATATATATATATATATATATATATATATTAAATAATAACATCCAAAAAGAAACTTATAATAAATTAGGATTCAATGTCAACATAGAACAACATTGAACAATAACATCTAAAAGAATCCTATAATAAATTAGGATTCTATACATAGGGCAACATTGAACAATAACATCCAAAAGAATCCTATGATAAATTAGATTCTAGACATATGATTATGTCCATAATCATTAGAATTTGATGCGCTAAAATTTTCATCGTTTCTAAATCTGTTGTCTATAGATTTGCATCTTCTCCGGTTTCACAACCAGAACAGAACCATTTGGAAGATAAAAGCACGAACTTTTTTTTTATGATATGATAATTCCATTACCACTGGTCTTGGTTGTTCTGTCTGCCTTAATAACTTCAGTAACAGGACTGTCAGTGTCGAGTTTATGGATTTTAAAGCGATTAAAGAAAAAACAGAATATCGTTTTTGTGACCAAAAATATTGGCGGGAGAAGTTACAATGAACACTTTCAATGTTCTTTTGATTGTTTTTTTCTTTCACATAAATAAGTTAGGAAACATTTCTAGAATGAAACCAAACCATTCTTAAGTACCAATAAAAATGTTCATTCCCTGATAATACCACACATGTCTGTAGGTTGAGGCAGTGATTGACAAAATTATCGAGGAGGCAAGGACTGGGGAGATTGGTGATGGCAAAATTTTCTGTAAGACCTGGAAATCTATCTAGAGATTAATTATACATTGTGTTCCATTAGCAGTTCTTTTTTCTGTTTGGATCATTGCCAATCTAGGGATATAAATGTGTCTGTTTTAGTGAGTTAGCCTTATTTCTCGTACATATCACTCTTCTTGGGTCCTGGGCAAACAGGTTATTCTGTAGTGATAGCATTTCCATTTTCAATATGATTTGTTTTTCCTTCTCGCAACTTGGGGTGGGGGACGGCGGCGGCATGAATAAAAGTTTTATCAGCTGAAAGAGAATAACTGAAATGAAATTATGCTGTCTGAGACAACAAATATGATTCTTGTTTACAAGCTGAAAATATTTTCTTTTCTTTTTTTTTGTATGTTATGTTATATTCCCTTCTCAGTTTAGAAACACAACCGGATGTGTTCTCGGTATCCGTAATATAGAAATGGTACCTTTTGACTTTTTGCTTTCACTTGTACCTCTCCTACCCTTTTTATTAATATATTAAATATTATATTCCCTAGAAACTATTAAGATTGATCTTTAGATTCGTGAATTATTAGATTTATACTTTTGTAAGCACCTTAGTCTTGATGCGTATTTCCTGTTCCATGTCTCCTCTTGTGAAGTTCCGAACAGAAGATTTTGAGGGAATACGAATTAAACTCTAATTTCTAAATTCAGCAAGTAAATGTATTGACCTCGATATGGAATCACATTTCTGATGAAACTTTGATTGTGCAGTGATCCCCGTCTCAGATGTTATAAGAATACGGACAGGTAACGATTTTCTCCCTGGAATTGCCAAAAAAAAAACTCGTAGTGAGCATTTCTAAGTTTTGAGTATAAAATTTTCAGGTGAACGTGGGGAGAAAGCAGAGAGGATGACTGGTGGGAGAAGTGACATGTTATCTGCTGTATGACTGTTGGAATGAAAAGATCAGCATTTATCATCTTTTTCTCTTACCCTTTCCTTTTCCCTTGTGGAATAAGCAAATGCATTGTGATTTATATTTGCAAGGATGTATGACAGACTGTTGAAAGGACAGTGATGAAACTTGTGAAAAAATAATAAACAAAGGCGAATTACTTCAATTAGCGCCATGTCATATGACGCCAAATTGTATGTGATGTAATAAATTAATGACATTATCAGACTTATTGCATTAAGAAATATAGTTTACAGCCCAGGTAAAATAGTTTGCACTTTACTTTGCCAAGTTTAAGATAGTTTTTTCAACTCTCTGATAAGGCAAGGGAGTCTAGTTCAAGTAAGTTTTTATAAGACTTGAATTTGAAATAACTTTGAGATAAAACCTGTCTTGTCAATTTAGCTGAAACATACTTTAACAAAGATTCAATTCTGTGTAGAATTGAAATAACTTGATTTGAAGAAATAATATAACAATTTTAAAATTATTTATAATCAAATTGTAAATTAAATATGTTGTATTGTGTATATTAAAAGAAACAACATTAATATAAATATAACATTATATCACGTAAAATATAGTTTGATCACTAAAACCGATTTCATTCTCATATGATTTTTTCATAAGAGAAATTCTTGAAAGTAGACTCCTATGGGATTTGGTTGAAATGAAGAAATATAAAGGCAAAAAGAAACAGTTTTTTAGTTTTTTTTTATTGAAGAGAAAGTAAAAGAAAAAATTGATTTTTAAAAATACACACATGTGTCCATGGTATGCAAATTGTAAATAAAAACATAACAAATGTAAGAATTGGTGTAGCCTTAACTTAATATTTAAGTGAAATGTGAAAACTAAAATAAAATTATAAAGCATAATTTATAATTTTTAATAGTATAGAAATATTTGTTTATCGGAGAATTTGAGACCACCCAATTTTGAAGAGTAGCTTTTTGTATGATTTTGAAAAGCGGAGAGCGAATAAGGAACCGTAGAACCCCCTCACCAAATCATTTACTAAACGCTCTCCGCTCCCAAACAACATCAGATCTCATCGCAAGTTCCCCAATACAACTTCCTCTTTCTCATATCTCTAAGGCAAGTCCTTCTCTTCCCTCTCACATTTTTCTTTATCTTTTTAGTTCTCAAACGCTCACCTTCTCGATCCGTTTCCATCTTCGTATATTCTCTCATAAATTTTCGATCTTCACATCTCTTTTTCCAATTCCAATTTCCTGTGTTAATTAGGGTAGCGTAACGATTGCACCGATGTTGTCTTAACCTTTGTGTTTGGGATTGTTTGTTTCAGAATAGTTGAAAATGGGGCTCTCATTCACCAAGCTTTTCAGTCGCTTGTTTGCCAAGAAGGAGATGCGTATACTTATGGTCGGTCTCGACGCCGCCGGTAAGACCACCATTCTCTACAAACTCAAGCTCGGAGAGATCGTCACCACCATTCCCACCATTGGTATATTTCTCTCTTTCTTTTACTTTTTGTTTCTTCAATTATTCCATCAATTAAATCGAATTTTAATGATGCACTCATCAATAAACGTTGGACCCAATAGAATAAATAACATTCAAAAGAACCGAAAAAAAATAAAGGATGCGGTTTTTGTTAATATGTAACGTTCGGTGTAGGGTTTAATGTGGAAACTGTGGAATATAAGAACATCAGCTTCACTGTTTGGGATGTTGGTGGCCAGGACAAGGTATTTCTTTTTCATTTTACTTTCGCTACCTGTTCTGTTGCTGTAGGGGGACGGGTTGGGCAGAGTTAGTTTTTTTGGTTTTTATTCATGGCCTGATGGGATACTTGTTAACGATTTAGAATGGTTTCATTCGTTACCTTTGAGAGAGAAAACATTATTTCTGATACTAGTAATTTTGGGTGCTGAATAATAACTTGATGCTACCATGCATACACTCGCTCCATTACAAGATCGATGTGAGTCAGAATGCATATTTTTTTTTGCGGGTGCATTTGATTAGTTTTGTAATACTTTTTCTTCATTTCAAATAGTGCCGGTAATGCATTATTTTGTGAGTACATTTCTTAATTTTGACCCAAACATGTTAAAAATGAAATCTTAAGCTAAATTAGCAGTTTTAAGCCTCTATTTTTTAGTGCTTGTCATCTGTTGCTCGGATCCAGTACTGTAGCAAGATCTGGCTACGGTGCTGAACATCTAGCTTGTTACCTCTATGTGGTGGACTTCTATATGGCTTGAATTGTCCAACACATTTGGCCTCCTCTGCTATATATTTTTATCGCAGAATCATTAGGAATTTTTTTATCGATACAGTAGTGAACATTTACACGTGTTCCCTGCTAGATCCGTCCTTTGTGGAGACATTACTTCCAAAATACCCAAGGTCTTATATTTGTGGTTGATAGCAATGACCGAGATCGTGTTGTGGAAGCTAGAGACGAGCTGCACAGGATGTTGAATGAGGTAACAAAATAGATAATCATTGAATGTGAGAATTTGGTTTATTTTAGAGGACTTGGTTTCCTAGAATAACTTTGTGATTTCTCTTGTCTGGCTGTAACTTTTGTCAGGATGAGTTGAGAGATGCTGTGCTACTTGTTTTTGCAAACAAGCAAGATCTTCCAAATGCTATGAATGCTGCCGAAATAACTGACAAACTTGGTCTTCATTCTCTCCGTCAGCGTCACTGGTAATATAAAATATTTCTGTCAGCGGTTAACTTGTCTATTGAATCCACTGTCTCCTCACTCCCTTACCCACCGACCATGTTCTTCACATGCAGGTATATCCAGAGCACATGTGCCACATCTGGTGAAGGACTTTACGAAGGACTTGACTGGCTCTCAAACAACATTGCAAACAAGGTTAATGCAGAATAATTATTCTCTGGGATTCAGCAATTCTAAATATAGTTTGACCGATTTCATATGAGGGCATGACTAATGGTTTTCCTTTAATTGATTTGTGATTGCAGGCATAGTGATCATCATTTATGGATTGCTTGGATTTTGGTTGAGTTTATAGCGATTGTGACTTCCGATGTTTGATACGGTTACCTTGTTTAGAATCTTTTATCTCATCTAGCATGTATTATTTGTCTTTGATAAAGAACAACATATTTACAACCTAATATTAAAATAATCTGCATTCTTTTCCGTGTATAACCAGAAGGCACTGTTTTACCCATTGATTTTAGAAGTCAATTTTGCCTATTGTTTGTGGATACTACCACACGGATGGCAATTTTTGAAATTAAGATACGATATACATTTCAGATACGCTGATAAAAAAATCTATATTGAGTATTAAAAAATTTACTAATTAAAAATAATTGTGTATCATAGCAAAAAAATACTTACTATAAATCTAAAATGTAATTTATATGTTCAAGAATGTTTATTTATTACAAATTTTAATTGCATTATAATATAGTTTATATTTATAGGTTTTTATTGTAAATTTTACTATACAAATAAAATGTATATCGAATGCATTAATTTCTTAATATTAAAAATACTTTTTATTCAGTAGTGATGTTTTCAATCACTAGCTATGCTTAAAATAAATAAATATGATCGGTTCATCGATGTTTTTGGCAAGTATGATATGTATATTTTAAAAAACCGCACTAATTAATTTGGTTTAGTTTTGCAATATTAACTATATCTTTTGGTGTAATGAGTTATTCATTGGGCAGTGAAAGTTGTAATAGTTATTCCTGTAATAGAATATCTTTGGTCGAGTTATTCTATACCTATCTATTAAAGAGCGCAAAAGTAAAAAAAATAGCCCTATTAAGTTTTCAAAACCTATCCAAGCATTAACCCAAAATAGTTAAGGAAGTTTAATATTTAGTTGAATCCTACAATTCACATTCAACTTGTGCTCGAGATTTTCTAAAGGATTTTCCATTTTTTTTTTCATATTTAGAGTATTTAAGTTCATTGAGAGAAACATTCACCCTACTTATACTATACTCCATACACATTTCATATAAAAAAATTTGTTATATTACCTATTGTGCTACTTGTTGGTATTTAAAAAATATTTGTAAACTTTTTCATATTTGTGAATATTCATAAATATTTGTATACATTTTCTATTTTCATTTTTTTATTTTAAATAAAAAAATCTAAAATCAACTATTTAAAATATGAAATTAGAAAAAAAAAAGTAATGTTAAGTATAATTCAAATTATAACTTTGATTTTTTTAAAACATAAATTTAAATAAGTTGCACATTAAAATATAAGTTTTGAAAATTTTTATTAAACCAAACAAATATATAAAATTAAATCTGAAATCTATCACCAATAAATTTATTTTTATTACTTATTTTTTTATTTGCAAGGTGTGACTAGAGATATTCATAGGTTAAATAATTTGACATTTGTATATATATATATAATATATATATATATATAGTATATATATATATATATATATATATATATATATTCATCAATAACCTAAATTAAAACACTTATTCACACTATGTACCATTTTTACTAAAAAATATTTATTTAGTATTTATTATAGAATGTACCTAGAGGTACAAAGCTTGTTATTATTTCTAAACTAAAAGACAAAAAGAAATATTTTTGTAATTAAAAATATAAACTCTGTAAGTATTAGATTCCTTGACTAACTAAACATTTTTCTGTAGTGAAGAATTTAATAATTAGATTTTTATATATGGAAATTTATTTACTAAATGAAACTTTGGTGTTCCAAGATAAATGTGCCATATTTAGTAAAAAAACTAAAAAAATAAAAAAAAGTTAGCAATGTACTTGGGAAGAAACTCAATCCATCAAATGTGATATTTGAATAAGAAGGCGTAAAATTAATTAGTTGCAGTTTCCTTAAAAACAATATAAAAGTGAATTTTAATTTGAAATAGGTTGAAAGGCGGAGGAGATTTCTCAAAAGATAGAGAATATAAATATTTTTAGTTAAGGTATTATGGAAAGATTATAATATATATATATATATATATATATATAATATGATGATATATAGTATATATATATATATGTATATTTTAGCAATGTGTACTGAGTTTTAGTAGACAAAAATACTCTTATATATTATGTATAGTCCCAACTGAAAAAAAAATCAGAAACATTGACCTTTAAACAATTTTACAAAAAAAAGAAACCCCCCTTACTCATCTCTCTCATTCCTCTCAACCCTTTCTCTTTCATCTCTCACTCGAACTTTTTCTCTGTCATC